AGAGGAGACTTCAAGGCTTTACTCAATTGCCCAAGGCCACAGGAAAGTCAGGGACACAGTTAGCAAGTGATGGGAAGATCATCTGATTCCCAGTCCAGAGCTTAAAGATCCAGACTGTGTTCCCGTCTGCAACATTTGTTAATTGTTCATTTCAAACAAAACATAACAGTGAATCCTTTCTTTATGGCTGCTTGTAAACATTTAAGATGCCTGTAGTTACCCATAACCTTTGTTTGCTCATCACTGTCAGCTGTCTTGACTGCCTGATTGCCTAGTCTCCTCCATTTCACCCTCCATGCAGGGAAGATTTAATTCTTTAATTATGATACTCATGTTCTGAACTTTGAGCCATTAAAGGACAAATACAAATACTCTCAGAGCGGTCACTAGTTGAGAGAGAGAGGCAGTAACTTCAGTAAACACTCCTGTTCAAACCCATAAGGCGTGGAGACACCAATTGTCTCTTAAGCAAATAGATTTGTCCGTTAGTTAGTTTACACTTTTAAATTATTGGTGTCCTTCAAGAAACACAAAGCGGGGAAAACAGGTTTGATACCATTTGGTTATGGGATGGATGGATTAATGGAAGCAAAACCCTTTTTAGGGGACACAAAGGTCTTCTAAGCTAGACAAATGCCTGTTTTTCTATTAAGGAAAATAATTTGTTTTTGGAGGGGAAACCATTCTCTTTTTCACACTTGTGATTTCACCTTTTTAAATGATGTACTTAAATATAGATACAGTCAAACCCAGGAGAATGCCTTTGTTCCAGTTTCCAGGTTGGAATAAGAAGTTCACTCTGCATGTAGAGGCACCTAATTTGACCTAAACTATCTCCAGATCCAGGGAGGTGCTTTGTAAATGGGGTTTAAGCCAGATAGCTGATTTTAAAATAAAAGTCAATGACATCAGTTGGCAGATGTGTTTAAACAGGAGCAGTCTTCTTACGTAATATAGCGAATTTCCTAGATTTGAGTTTTTTGTTTTTGTTTTTCAAAGCTGAATTTACTTATTTGGCCTCTTACTTAAGGAAGTTCCAGATAGCCTTCCAGTTAGAGGAACTAGCTATTCTTAAAGGGGAAAAAAAAGGCCTAAATGGGGGTGAAATGGAGGTTTTCACTGAGCATAAGCTTGACCTTGCCTCGTTGGTTTCATGCTTCTCATGGGCCCTTTAGCAAAATCCTCAGTTGCTATCGGATACCTAAAAGGAAGGATAATCATAGCCAGCTGTCCTCTCTGAAAAACCCTCTCCTGATGGTCTATTACTTCTAAGGGGTTACTTATCTACACCTTTCTGGGAATGACATCACCAAGCAGATGAATGTACATTTACTAGAATGGTGGAGCTCTTTGGGATTTCCTTTTCCCTGAATTTGTAATCATTATCTCCCCCTCTTCCCCCAAATCCCATCACTGCCGCCAACAGCAAGCAGTTTGCTAGCTAGCATTCTATGCTGGCGTTTGTCACTTCAAGCTAACAGTCAAATCACAGATCATTTGAACTGGAAACAACTTTAGGGGTCATCCAGTCCAATCCCCTAATTTTACAGATGAGAAAACTGAGACCCAGAGAGTTGAAGCAGTTTGTCCAAGTTGCCTCCAATTCTTTAGTGGCAGAGGATGGACCAGAATCTGTTGAGCCTTCTTACTACCAGCCCAGTTTTCTTTCTACTGTGCCATTGACGGACAGACTCTAGAGATACGGCCCACAAATGCTTGGCCTCCTATTCAGTTCAGCTTCTCAGTGGTAATCAAAGCTGTCAACTTAATAGCAAACAATCTACCCCATAAACAAAAATGAAGAACTCTACAAGGTCATTAGTGAGAGAAGCTTTTCACACATGAAATCGATGTGTGTCTAAGCACTGTATGTATTTTAATAGTATGACACAGTTTGTCAGGCCATCTATATCTGTCCAGGTGCAGAGTCTAACTAGGGTACTGCATTTGAAGCCAGGTCATATAATGATTTGACTATTTCAAACATATCTAAAAGGCCAGTTTCTGTGTTCTGGTTTCTCAGATGTCAGTGTATATAAGAAGAACAAACATGAGTAGGGCAAAGGGAGGCAAGCAGGCCATTTGTATCTATATTAATGACTGCCTCTTTCCGAATTTTATCTGAAATGAACCTTGTTTTTCTTTTGTCTTCATTCACTTTTTTCTTCCTTCTCCCTATGCCTTTTATGCATCTCTACTCTAGAAACTTTCCATTTAATTTTAAAGGTAGCTTTCAGCACAGATTAGAAGTTGTGTGGGGATAAAATAAGGTATCCCAGTGGGGTGGGAGTGAAAATTGGCCCACTTAGTTGGTTTATGAATTGTTTTGCTTGTTAGACTCAGTTTTTTTCCACCTGATTATGGGAGATTTCTCCAACCATAAGGAAAGCAGACAACAACATTATCTAGGGAAAATTTGCTTCACTGAGGAACAGAAAATAAAGTAGTCCAGGCTTCCTGAGTCATTAAAAAATATGGTGTCTGATCCTTGGGAGAGAGCCCACTAATCAATGCAAGAAGTGGTGCTTGCCACCTAAGGGGAAAATATTATAACACTGAAATCATACGTAATTTCAATATCTATTGTGTCTCAACAGATTAGGGCCTCTCTTTCTATTTAGAACTAACACCCATTCTCTTTCCTATGATTCTTTTGCTCCCTAGAAAGTCTGAATATTAAAGACCCATCTAAATTAGTTATTTGGAATATAAGGGTGATGGTGACGATAGCACTTTAAGGTTCATAAAGCACGTTGAATACATTATTTCATTAGAGACTTAAAACAATACTGTGATGTAGGGAACATAGGTGCTATTTCTCCAAGTTTACAGACTAGGACGGAGACTGAGAGAGCTTAAGTGATTTGACTGTGATCATGCTGGGGCAAACGTCAAAGGTGAAAGTCGAGCCTAGCTTGTCCCAACTCCAGATTCAGTGTCCTCTGCAATATGCCATGCTTTCTCCATTTCTGAGGTTTAGAAATATGTACCATTTAATTCCTAATTCTTTGGTTTGAAAAAAAAATAGTTGTAGTCTTAGTGGAAGTCTTCGCAGACCTTTGAAGATGATGTCATATACCTTCAGTGGGCTTTTTTAGGGTTGTACACACCTGTAGTTCGATCCTACTCTTTTCTCTTTGGAATGGGAATTTAAATTAAAGTGTAATTCAAGAAAAGGAGAAAACAGACCTGTCACTTTCTTTCTTTGTGTACTTAGGCAATTTTGTGTCAAATATGTGTGTATATGAATGAGATTAATAACTTTGGGCCAATGAAGCTGTAGTTAAAATGAGCTCCTTCCAAGTTCAACTGGGCAGCTAAAATTGGGGCATTGGATTATTTTATTATTATAACTCAGCAATCTTTGCATTCTCTTATGGATAAGAGCAAAAGGTTCAAGGAAAGCTGGGAGGTGTGTGAGAGTGGGGGGAGTAGGGGTAGGGGAATAATTTGATTTACCAGAAGGAAAATTTATATGTATTGTAATTTTACTACAAATGTGAATCAGAGGGAGTTCATGCTTTGAGACAAATTTACGGTTAGCAGTAAGACAAAGGCCTGTTTTACTGCCATATCTTTACTTAATAAATCTTAATTACTATCTCTCCATAAATTAAAGTGTTTAGCATGCTGTATTCTAATCATCAGAGTTGTCAGTATCTAACATTAGTTTCACAGAGTAATTGCCTTTTATGCTTTTTTGAAAAGTAGCTCCTTAGCCTTTTATTCTCTGTGCAGTGGAGGAATTGCTAGCCAGGTTTTCAATGAGAAGTCCTCCATTTTAAAACTAGTGTTTGGTTTGCAAAACTCCAAATACAAGTACAATGAATCCTTGGATCAAATAGAGGGAAGGTTAGATTGAATTAGTGTAAAGTCTCAGCCTTGGAATACTATTTTCTAAAGAAAATGCAATTTTATTGTCTTTAAAAACATAGAATATGTCCCAATAGAGGTCCTAGAGGGCTTGCTTTGATGAATTGATAACACTTATTTGTAATTAGTAGAATCTATTTTCATTCTAATAGTTAATATGTGAAAATCCCAGAAGAATGGCTTATTTTCTTAAGTAGGTTAAAATAAATCTTTTGTAATATTGTTATACTATTTTTGCTTAGCAGACCCTCTCTTAATTGATTGTACAGAGGTAAACTTTGGCCAAGCCCAGGTTGAGTCATCACTAATTCCAAAATTTATAGTGTCTGAATGAATAGAATTTTCCATTATTTTCAACAACATAACTCTGTGGAGTTCTTTGCAAACTTTAAAGTACTGTATAAATGTTGGTTATTGTTATAATTGTTTTCTCCTTTTAAGGAGAAGTAGCTGTATTGGGACAAGTAGCTATATTGCTCTTCTTTTACATTCAGTGTTTTTGTGGACTACAAGATTCAAATAGAAAAATAAACAATTCCCCAAACCTCCCCTGGTACCTGGCACATATTAGGAACCTAATAAGTGTGCATTGAATTGAACTGGTCAGTAGGCTGTTTGTTTGGCTTCAAGTCTTTCTTGGATCAACTAGCTGAGGAGCTACCATTGTCTCTTCTTCTTTTTTGATTGGTACTATATTATGGCAGGAAAGGAAGGAAAGAGACAGACAGGCAGAGGCAGGCTTAAGGTTATCTTTGAACTTGGCTACTCCTTGAAGTAGCCACTGTATTAAGCTCTTTCTGGGAATTTTCTTTTTTAATTCCCTCCATTTGGGAGGAGGTAGCTGAATAATGGGAAAAGATGCTTGGGTATTTGCCAAATAAATCAGCCTGTGACTCAGTGCCCTGCTCTGGCATACAGCAAGACCCACTGAACACATTTAAAAAAAAAATAATAAAGTTTTCCAAATTCCTAGTTGAGTAGAATTGGCTCCTGAACCCAAGCTGCCCACTCAGAGAGCCAGAGATAATGCCCATCAAAACTGAATATTCCCCATGTATGTCAGCGAGTGGGCGAAGCGTTTGTTCAGATGGAGGATCTGAGAAGAGCTGTGTGTTCTATTTCTATAGGTTCTCAACAGGAGATGTGTCGAGGCAGCCGTGATGACAGGCCTGGCTCTGAACTGCACTGTAAACAAGAAGTCTTTGTTTGACAGAAAGCACTACTTCTACGCAGATCTTCCCGTAAGTAGTTCCGTGTGGTACACGTCCCCCTCTGCCAGGTAGGAGATGGAGCAGCCCAACAGGAGGGAGCTGTCCATCCCAGCAGGGGCCTGTGCTGGGCCCCAGTGCAGACCGGTGCACCCTGAGGCTTGGTAAGATTGGATGCGATTGCCCTGATTGCTGACTCCTGGCTCGGCCTCATGCTTCTGGTGCCTTTCTTGTAATTGAATGGGGAGCAGAAAGAAGCCAATGTTCTCAGATTCATTTTAGACCCAGCATTTGGTGCTAATTGCTTGATAGGGCAGGAGTACATCATGTGCCCATTGCATTGACCCTGCAGCAAATAAACACTTATAGCCGTGGAAATGTGGTGGTAGCTTCTTTCTCTCCTTTAAAGAACAGATCCTGTAATAGGGACATCTCCCCTCTGCAGCGTTTCTTTGATCTTACTATGGCCTAGTAAATGGATATTTGCAACACAGTAAGCAGGGGCCTGAACCCAACCATGGACCAGAAACCTGAACTCATTATGCTCCAATGTTATTCTCTCCCTCCTCCTCCCCCCCAAAAAAAATTTAAGCCAGCAAATATAATAAGATTTTTATAAAACAGTGTGCTGAGCCAGTTTGAACTGGATTATATTTCTAATATTAGTGCAATCAGACAGCTGAAATATCAGAGTATTCACTCTGTTGACCACTTTCAAGATTGTCACCTCTGCTAGGACAGAGTGTGTGTCCTCTAGACTTTCTTGCAGTCACAGTGCTCTGTGCATAGTAGGGTACACAGTAAACATCTCCCAGATGTTGAGTGTTCTTTGGTCTCAGCACATAATAGTAAGCTTTGGTTCTCTTCAGATTTAGATTAAACGATTTCTGGAGCATAATTTCATCTCATCAGGTAAAACTGAACTTTAGTTGTGAATTGAATCAAAGTCTTTTCTGATCAGTAGCATTTCTCCCCCTCTCCTTAAAACAGACATTCAGGGCCCAGATTCTCCATTCACTTCTCCGTTTTCTGTCAGACATCTTGCTCTTTCAATCTGGTGAGGATGAACAAGAACCAGAGGACAACAGAATCTACCCTGCTACCCATTAGTAGTCAGTCAGCACAAGGTTACTAAGTGCTCATTGTAGGAATACATAGAAAAAGAAGGAAGAGGTCCTGTGTCAAAAGGCTCATAGGAAACCACACACTCATTTTTAGATGTGTTCTAAATAGACTGTGCAAGGTAACCTTGGTAGGGGGCAGAGGGTGAGGAGATGAGGGGAAGTCCCTAGTGGTTGGTGAGTCAGGAAAAGTGCCTTGCAAAGGTGGCCCGTGAGTGAGGTCTTGAAAGAAACCAGATATCCCAAGAGACAGAGGGGAGGAGGAAGAGCATTCCAGGCATGGGGAGAGCCCATATAAAGACAGCTTTAGGAGACACAGTGAGAGATATCAAGATGAGAGATAAGGCATTGTGTGTGAGGAATAGCTAGTTTGGCTGAACTCTAGAGTTTGTACGAGAGAGTTGACATATAAGAAGACTAGCAAGGTAGGAAGGGGGCAGATTATGAAGAGATTTAGATGCCAAACAGAAGTTTGCATTTGATCCTAGAGGCCATAGATAGCCTGTTCTAGAGGTAAGAGGGAATTGATCAAGTAGGGCAGTGACATAGACCTGAACTTTAGGAAAATAACTTTGGTGGCTGAGGAAAGGGTACATTGGTGTAGAGAAAGACTTGGGAAAAGGAGGCAAATTAAGAATCTCTTGCAGTAGTCCAGGTGAAAAATGATGTATTAAATGGAGAGAAGGAAACCTATTTGAGATGTGTGGTATAGGTACAAATGATGAGACATAGTGACTGATAGGACAAGTGGGGTGAGTGAGAGATGGGTCAAGGAGGTGACCAGTGTTGTTAACCTGGTTCACTAGAAGGATGGTGGTGCCCTCAACAGAAATAGAGATGTTTCAAAGAGGGGTAGCTTTGGGGAAAAAAGAAAGACTTCTGTATGCGATAATGTTGAGTTTGAGATGCCTACTCTGTATTTTGAAATCAAAATGAGTAGTTGATGATGTGAAACTATAGTTTTGGAGGGAGACGGGCACTAGATACACCACCTAGGATTCATCTTCATTGAGACGGTCATTGATTACATGAGACCTGGTCAGGTCACCAAGTGAAAAGGTATAGAGAGAAAAGAGGAGAAGGCCCAGTACAGATCCCAGAGAAAGAAACACCTGCAGTTAGGAGGCATGAAGCAACAGAGGAGGAAAACCTGGAGAAGTGTCTATAGAGCCATGAGCTACAGGGAGGTCCATAAGAGTGAGAACTGAGAAAAGGTAATTTGATTTGGTGATTAAGAGGGTAACTTTGAAGAGAGCAATTTTAGTTACTCATAGGTCATGGATCTCTGGGGGTTTAAAGGAAAGTGGCAAGAGAGGAAGTAGAAGCAATATGTAGAGGCAGCTTTTTCAAAGAGTTTCACTAAGAGAGAGGCACTGTTGGTATAGTGGATAGAAAGTCATCCTCACAAAGCCAGGAAGATGAGTGTATAACAACCACAGTAACAGCAACAACAATAATAATGGCTTTCATCATCATAATAATGTAATAAATAATAATGATGAGGCTAGCTGACATATAGTGCTTACAATGTACTAGGCACTGTGCGAAGCACTTTATAATTATTTATAATCATTTGATCTTCACAACAATCCTGGAAGGCAGGTGCTATTATTATCCCCATTTTAAGATGAGGAAACTGAGGCAAACAGGTTAAGTGACTTGCTCAGGGTCACACAGCTAGTAAGTGTCTGAGGCAGAATTTGAACTCAGGTCTTCCTAACAATCTACTATACTACTTAGTTGCCTCCTTTGACACATACTGGGCAGGTCTGTTCCATTATCAGTGTGATAGACAACTCTCTGAGACTCCCTCTGAGTTTCAGAGAAGGCACCAATATGTGTTGGTAGAAAAAATTTACTCACCTGGTATAGTGAATTCACAAATCTACTCCAGTCCCATCTCCTTTCACTGATGAAGGGTGATGGCCAGTGAGGATGATGGGGTCGGGTGAGGAGAGTTAGGGATGGGAGAGATTTGACTGTGTTTGCAGATGGCAGAGAAGGAGCCAGAAAATGAGGGGAGAGTGAAGATTAGAGAGAAACAATGATAGTTGAGGCAGTTTGCTGGAGTAGACCGGAGGGAATGGGATTAAGGGTGCACATCAAGGGTTTGACTTTGGTGAGAAAGGTCTCTTTTCAGCAGATACTCTGGTAAAGGAGAAGTGGTATTAGAGAAGGACATCAAGAGCTTTTGAAATATAGAGTTTGGAAGAGTTGAATGATCTGAATTTTCTCTAATGACTGGTTTTTGGGGGGGGGTTTTGGGTTTTTTTGGCAGTTGGGGTTAAGTGACTTGCCCAGGGTCACACAGCTAGTGAGTGTCAAGTGTTTGGTCTGAGGCCGGATTTGAACTCAGGTCCTCCTGACTTTAGGGTTGGTGCTCTATCTACTGTGTCACTTAGCTGCCCCCTTGAATTTTCTCTAAAAACTGTGAACAGTAACAGTATTCAATTTGGCTAAAGTTAGAGAACTTTTTTCCCTTTTAAAAAAAATAGATTTTTGTCGCTCTCTTTTGTTTTTCTATCACCTTGATTTTCCCCTCTCCCAGACAGCTTCTTCCTTATACCAAAGAATCTAAGTTAGGCTTTTTTAATAATGGGTTTTTTTTGTCTCTGGCCTTAATCAGTTCGGGTAATCAAATTTCTTGGCAGCATATTTGAGAGGTTTTTTGTTTGTTTGTTTGTTTTTAAATTCTTATTTATGCCTTTATTTTTACATCCTGGTTGTGTTCATCATTTCTAAGTCCCCATAGTTTTCCACTACATTCATAAACCACAGTATTTTCCACCATTCCTCCATTGATGGGCACTGACTTTGTTTCTAGTTTTTTGCTACTATAAAAACTGCCACTATGTCTATTTTGTTATATCAGGCCTTTGTTTCTTTCTTTGACTTCCTTGGGTTGTGTGTACCTTAATGTGATCACTGGGTCAAAATGTTTGAACAGTTTATTCTTACAAAGTGGATTGTTCACACAATGTTTCACCCTCCACTTTGAATGTCTTCGTTGTATAACTGAATCTCACTCTTATTTTCACTGATCCTTCCAGCCCCCAATAGTTAACTCCTCTCGCCCTTCCCTGGAAGCCTGTACTGATTTATGCATTCAAAAACAACTCATCCATTTCACTTTAAACCGGGGGGGGGGGGGGGGGGCCTTTGCAACATCAGTTGGCATTTTTGTTATTATGTGTCACAGCATTTTCTGACAAAGGGAGCAAGGGAAGCCAGGGCAGGAAGACACTTCCCATGCTCGGTTAGCTTTAAAGAGCAAAAACAAAATGAGTCTAAATGCTGTAACGACTGCTGTCGACAGTGTCGAATGCAGGGACCAGAATGCTTAGCTGGCACTGTTTAATAAGAATGGTCTGTCAGGAGCCCAGTAATAAGATGCAGAGTTTAGGCTAATGAGCTAAATGGAAACAATAAATCCTCCTCTTAGGGTCCTCTGACAGTGGGATTATTGTTATTCCTGAAAACAGCACTTTGGCAGGGGAAATGGGCTACTCGTTGTTTATTGTCACTTGCTGTTTGAGGCAGAGGGTGACTGTGTTTTAATCTTCCTAATGAGAAATTGGGGGAAGGGAAAGTTGAAGACTAGACTTTGCGAAGACTGGAGCACAGACGGTATAGTATGGATTGGGATGGGGAGGAGGGCGGTGTAAGCATTTTTTTTTTAAATTAAATGGTGCCACTGTTTTGTCAAATTTAAAAAAAAAAATTCAAAGCAAATGCCAGGCTTTTCATTTTTCAACTTGATGGGTTGGGCTAGTGACTGCAACCCATGCTTTTGTGCAGGCTGGATACCAGATCACCCAACAAAGGCTTCCCATCGCCGTGAACGGGAGCTTGACATACAGCCTTGGTGTGGGAGCCCAATGGAGTCCATCAGCCACCAAAACGGTGAGAATCAAGCAGATCCAGCTGGAGCAAGACAGCGGCAAGAGCCTTCACGATGACACGAGGTCCCAGACGCTCATTGATCTGAACCGGGCAGGTAGGCGGATTCTTCTCTCTTGACTTCTTCCGTGTCCCTCAGTAAAAAACTAAAGTGTTGATGTTTCTAGAGGATAAGGACCAAATTTAGAAATTAAAAAAAGAGAAGAGAGAACTCATGCCCCTGGTTCTTTCTGAGAGAAGGAAGGAAGGAAGCTAGCTTTTATTATCCCCATTTTACACTTGAGGAAACTGAGGCAACCACAGGTTGCCCAGACCTACCCAGGGTCATCCAGCTAGTAATATGAAGTTAGATTTGTACCAAGGTCTTCCCAACTCCAGGCCCAGAGCTCTATCCACTGTACCACTTAGCATCTCTTAAGTAATCCAGAGTTTTCTTAAGTAAGGCCCAAATGTTTTTATCTGTTGATCACATTGCAGCCTAATATGTCAGATGAAAAGCTCCAGTTGGGACTCATTCAATGTCTCTTTGGTAGGAGTTGGCCTTATGGAGGTTGTCATGGAACCCGATATGTCCTGTGGGAATGAGGCAGCAACAGCCGTCAGAGAGCTTCAGTTGATTCTTCGGGCCCTGGGGACCAGCCAAGCAAATATGGCAGGTAGGAGAAGGCAGAAGTGTTTTCTTTTGCTTCCATACTTCCTCCCTCTTTGCTCCCCAATTTTGTCATTGCTTTTTGGCCATGCTTTCCATCTGTCACCACCGTCTTAGATGCCTTTTATATCCTCTGACAATCTTTTGTTGTCTTCAGTATGTGTTTTTAAATTCCCTTGCCTTTTCTGTAACGATAATAGAGATAGCAGAGAGCAAGAGAGAGAGGGGCATGTAAATAAGAATCGTGAGAACTATCTCACCTTCATGAAGGCCCCCATTTTGTGAAGTGAGATGTTCACCTTCCTGTATATAATAAGTTTCTATCAACATAAAATGGAGTTGATATTTGCTAATGGCCGTCAGCATCATGATGTTGGAAATATTACTGAAATAGTATGTTGGAAGAAATTAGAGTTTCTCCAAAGGCATTCAGTATCAAAGATAATTCTTCATTTGGCAGGTTGTGTCTTAAGGGCATTGAGTAGGTCTGGCTGGTGTTGGGGATACGTCAATATAAGCTAAATCTCTTATTTTACCAACCTCATCGTTTTTCATGTAATTTTCATCCATATGTACAACTGAAACCAGAAATTAATCCAGAAGAGACATGACATTTACATGGCTTTAAAAATTAGATTAAACCTTGAGTTCACTGGAAAATAAAATGTGTAGCAGTTAAGTGGTGCAGTGGAGAGAGAGCTGACCATGGAGTCAGGAAGACCTGAGTTCTGAGATCGCTTCATACACTAGCTGTGTGACACCCTAGACAAGTCATATAACATCTGCCTGCCTCAGTTTTATCATCTGCAAAATGGAGGTGATAATTGTACCTGACTCCTAAGGTTCCTGCGAGTATAAAATGAGGTAATATTTTAAAAAGCGTTTTGTAAACCTTAAAGCACATTATAATTGTCGTTACTTATATTTATTTATAATTAATGATATTCATTATATAATATTTGATGTCATTAGTCCTTCAAAAATGAAGGATGAACAACAGCAACGTTTATATAATGATGCTAGCTTTTATTGTTGTTATTGTTTATTATTAGCAAAAAAAATAGTACCAAATTTGGGGTGTTTACAGGTTTCGGAGAGAGAGATCATAGGCTATCATCTAAACATACACAAGTTCAATTTCCTTGTGGATCTTTTCCTTACTTATATCCCCCCATCCTAAAGCATTGATTCCCTCAAAGCTACTTTTTTAAACATTCAATTTTATTTTATTTTCATTTCGGAATTCTCCCCTTCTCTCACCTACTGAGAAAGCAAGAACAAAACCTACTAACAAATACATGTCAAGCAAAACAGATTCCCACATTAGCCGCATCCAAAACAAAATATGCTTTGATCTGTACTCAGACCCCCACCTCCCTATCTGGAGGTGGCCTAGTGGCTTTCCATCCCAGATGGTTTGCTGATTTCCAACTGCTTTGTTCCTCCAGCCTTCAACACAAAACAGTCTCTGAAGGAGCAAGAAAAAAAATCGGAGTTGGGGTGTCTAGCTTGCAGTAATCCACTGCCCAAGCCCCACCCACGGTGTACAAATTTAGGTAGTGATGAGACATCCTCCCACTGTGCCATGCTTCACCAGCATGACTAAGCATAATGATGACTTTTTTTTTGAAAGAAAGCTTTGCTCCCTTCCTGTCTTCCAGGGAAGTTCCCTGAATGCCAGGATCACAAGAGTTGGAAGAGACCTGTCGGTCATCTAGCCCACTTTTTCCCCAGCCAGGAAGCCCTTCAGTGGCCAGCCAACTTCTGCCTGAAAACCTGCAATGTGAAAGGGTCCACACCTTCCCTGTCAGGCCCCTTCTCCCTTTGGACAGCTTCTTCACATCACACCTAAATGTGCCTTTACAATTTCCCCATGGCAGCCCTTTGAAAACTGAAGACCCTGGGTTCAAATCCTACCTCTGATCCTGTAGTAAGGATCATGTATGACCTTGGGCAAGTTGTCTACCCTTCCTGGGCTAGTTTCCTCACCTGTCAAATGAGACAGTTGGACTTGATGACTTCTAAGGGCTTTTCCAGTTCTACAGCTAAAGTTTTGTCTTCTTGCCCATGTCCCCTTAAATCTTTTGTTCTTTAAGCTAAACATCCCTAGTTCTTTCAATTGATTCTTCTGAAGCATGATCTCTAATCAGAGCCTTGTCCATGCTCTCCCTCCTTGGTCACCCTCCTCTCAACGTATGCCTTTTTGTTAATGTCCTTTCTTCCTCAAACGTAGCACCAAGCACTTCAAACAGTGTTCCACCCAGTCTGGCCTGGGCCAAGTACAATAAGACTATCACCTCCCTCATTCTGGACACTCTGCTTTCTCTTAATGATGCCTCCCTTGATGTTAGCTTTTTGAAGACTTTTGACTCACTTTGAGTTCAGAGTTCCCCAAGTCCCCCATGTTTTGTTTTGTTTTGTTTCATTTTTGTCCTATTCATGCTTCTCTTTCAGCACTTAGGAAGATGATCATTTGAACCCACATATAGAATTTCACATTTATCCCAGCTAAATTTCACCTCATTAGATCTGACCCAGCATTTCAGCCGTTAACCCCAGTAACAAATATACCTAGTCATGCAAAATCAGTTTCTTCATTAGCTCTGTCCAAAAATGTCTATCTCAATTCTGCCTCTTTTATCCATCACTGCTCTCTCAACAGATGGGTAGGGTACTTCATCATTGGTCCTCTGAAATCGTGGTTAGTCACTGCATTGATCACAATTCACAAGGTTTTCAAGTTGTTGGTCTTCACAGTGTTATTATATAAGTTGTTCCTCTGGTTCTTCTCACTTCACTCTACATCAGTTCCTCCAAGACCTACCAGTTCTCTCTGAACCCACCACTTTCTTCTTCCTCATCATCATTATCATCCATGAGTTTCACGTCAAGCTCACAGAGAGGCCACTAATATGTACACAGGGATCCCTACAGGCCACTAATTGACTTAGTTTTAAAAGGTAATGGTATCTATGTTTTACTGTATTTTTGTTTATTTTGTTAAATATTTCCCAATTACATTTTAATCTGTTTTGGGCCACACTCAGGAAGGATGAGTGTTTGACACCTCTGCCTTAAAGTACAATAATATTCCATTACCTTCACATACCCTAATTTGTTTAGCCATCCCCTAATTGACAGGATCCCCTTTAGTTTCCAGTGCTTTGCTATAGCAAAAAGAGCTGTTATGAATATTTTTCTAAATATGTGTCCCTTTCTTCTTTCTTTAATCCCTGGAGCTACAGACCTAGCAATGGTCTCACTAGGTCAAAAGAGTTTGCACAGTTAAGTATGTTTGGCGACATAGTTCCAAACTGCTTTCCACAATGACTGAACCAATTTATAGCTCCACTGACAACGTATTATTGTGCCTATTTTCCCACAGTCCCCCAACATTTGTAGTTTTAGTTTTTCCTTTTTTTTTTTTTTGGTCAATTTTACCTATCTGGTGGGTATGAGATAGAACCTTAGAGTTGCTTTAATTTTCTTTTCTCTAATTACCTGTGATTTGAAACAGTTTTTTCACATGGTTACAAACATTTCTTAATCGAGGCGTGATGGCTTTTAGTGATCACAGGGACCCTCCCTAAATGCTAATCCTAAACAAATTATTCCTCTAACAAGAATTTTGCCAGGAATTGAAGTCAAGCTTATTGGCCTATAGTTTAAAGAATCTACCCTCTTTTGGGGCAGCTAGGTGGTGCAGTGGATAGAGCACTGGCCCTGGATTCAGAAGGACCTGAGTTCAAATCTGGCCTCAGACACATAACACTTACTAGCTGTGTGACCCTGGGCAAGTCACTTAACCCTATTGCCTAGGCAAAAAAAAAAAGGAATCTACCCTCTTTCCATATCCATACTCCGGTGCCTGGCAGCTCTTCCATACCACAGAATCTTCCAAAGATCGCTGACAGTCACACACGATGTGTTTTTACTACTTTAGGATGTAGTTTGTGTGAGCCTGGTGATTTAAATCCATTGCTCCGGGCCCTCACTTATCTTGGGTCTCAGCTCCATCTTAACTTAAAGAACGTCCATTCTTTAGACGTGATAACAGAAAGTAAAACAAGAGCTAAAGAGTTTGCCCTCTCATTGTCTGTTATCACTCCATCCACCCGCTTCTTGTCCCTTCGTGGGCTGTCCTTCTGCCCATGGCACACTAAAGGCCTGCCATTTCAGGAGCAGAAACAGTTAAAAACAGAGCTTTGGTTGAATCTGAAAGTGGAAGGATCCCCGATTTTATCATCCTTTCTCTGATACTTGGAAAGATCTGAGATTTCACTAGGATGAGAGGTGACGCAAATCTCAGCCTCTCCACATTCCCCTAAAGTTACCATGGCCAACGAATCGCAATCAGTTCCTGACTGAACATCCTAAGGTGAGTGTCCTTATACCTGGGGGAGCTGCTGTTGGAGAGCAGGCCCATACTTGAAGCCTTTCCTGCTTTCTAAAACCTAGCTGGGCTTTAGTTCATGGCCTTTGAGAAAGGATTCACCGTGAAGAGGCATCAGAGGAAGATCTGAGTAGAGGATTGATCATCCTTAGTAACTGTTCCTTGGTAACCATTAAAGACTGAAAAAAGTACAGGCACATATGTTTGGAGTGCATAAGTGTGAGCTGCTTTCAGATTTGCTTGGCAGACCAGGAAAAACTCTGCGCTGTTTTGGAGCAGGAGAGCTCTTACTGCTCTCATCTCCATACAGTCTTTTTCCTTGTAGAATATAAACAAAAAGTACAGTTAGATAGCAATCCAATTTTATGAGCTATGTGTTAGGTTTTGTGACACTTTAGCAAAGCTACCACTGTTTATTTTAATAAAGTAGATTCTTCCCAGAATAGCTGTAATTCCTACCCAACCTGTAGAAAAATTAATGGGCCACCTGTTAGCTGAGAAATAGTCCCATCTGGGAACCTGTCATGAGACAGACTGTAACAGCAAGAACTCAGCCTGTGACAGCAAGAGAGTTCGTTAAACCTCATTGGTTGTTGCGAGGACAGGAGTTGTTT